GCCACTCTAGCTACTAAAGTTTCTTCCGGGAATTTATGGATAGAGGGTTTTCGGTTAATTATAGTTGAGGGGCTTGGGGTGTATTATGGGTCAAAAGTTTTTGGGTACAGTGAATATTATGTATATGGTTATTATATACGGCCGGGTTGTTTGTTGTGCTTTGGTGTGGCTGGGGTGCAAAGGAACTTCTCAGCTTAAGGGCCATTATAATAAGAACGTCTAGCTAATAATAGATTGCCCAGTCAAAGTTTTGTGGTTGGGGTTTTGAAGGGGGCAGGGGTCCTGGAGGATTTCTTGTACAGGGTCCAGGTCTAGGGTGAACAGGGTTTGTGTTGGCTTATAGATGTTGGTTTCTGCAGAATTACGATCAGATATGTAGAGCCAGTCCTTCAGGCACGATGTGATTCAAGTCTGCTAGAGTAAATGGATTTGGGTACATTTTTCAGGTGATGATTGAATTGGGTTACTGCCTATTAAATAATACCAGACCTTACAAGCCGCAGACAGCATTTCCCAATCCGACAAGCCAACCCACCATATGAACCCCGAGGCCTCGAACCAGGAAAGGATTTCCTTTAGCTGAGCCAAGCTACCCTAGACCCCGAAACCGTTGTGGAGCTGACCTACCTAAGTTTGGTATAAATCATGTGGTCCCGAAGCATAGACGTGATACTGGGGTTTGTAATTTTATATGCTATGTATGTATCCCACCTGAAAAACCAACACCATTGCCCTGTTCTTGTAAGCGAAGCAGCGCCACCAGCCATCATTGCCATCGTGGCTGAATGCCTCGGGTTTGAGGGCTTCAGGGTGTAGGGTTTTGGGGCTTTGTGGCTCGGGCTCGGGGCTCTGGAGTTATAACAAATACCATGTGTATATACATATATATATATATGCATTATTATTATTATATTGTATAAGTATATATACATATATATATATATATGGGGGACCAAGCATATTGCAACGCCGTGCAATTTTCCCGCAAGCCCAAACCTGCCAAAGCCGGGAAGCCTCCGAAATGTATATCATGTTTCAGGTCTCGGGGGTAGGGGTTCTAATGGGCAGTAACAGTAGTTCACTTGTTAGCAGTGCCCGTAGATTGAAAGAAACCGTAGCATTCTTAATAATGTCTTCTGTAGTAGCAGTGCGAGACCTTCATCGTGGCAATACCTGCATTGTGCTTGGGAATTCACAATGCCCTGCTCGACAGCAGTGCTCATGAACCCACAGCTTCAGCTCGCTGGGGTCACGTTCGGTGCAGCGTGTTTCTGTTCCCGGAAACAATACAAATTATAGCATATATACTAATGCTAGTACTACTTCTACTACCATTCCTCCTACAAATACTACTACTACTACTACTACTACTACTACTACTACTACTACTACTACTACTACTACTACTACTACTACTACTACTACTACTACTACTACTACTACTACTACTACTACTATTACTACCACTACTACTACTACTACTACTACTACTACTACTGCTACTACTACTACTACTACTACTACTGCTACTACTACTACTACTACTAAAGCATCAACACGGTTTGAGACAAATTGGAGCCCCTCTTTTTTCTGTGAAAGACCTTCATCAGTGGACCACTGCCACCAGTGCTACCACTACCGCTACCACGACTACCGCCACCAGGCCTACCACTACCACGACGACGACGAGGACCACTACTAGTACTCAAGTAAATAGTAACATGTGGGTGGAAAAACCTTCCGCAACCGAACGGAGCGCCCTTAACTAGCATCCTCTTTTGGCCAGGCAGGGGCCGAGCATCATGTGCATCAGCGGGTCTTTTTGGGGTTCAAACCTCATCAAATTCAAGTCCAACGGATTTTAAATCCGTTGGACTTGTACATGGGTGCGATTTGTTGCCGGTTTTTGGCCTCCAAGTGGTGCCCCAGTGCTAAGAAGTATGATTTGTTGCCGTTGGTTTGGCCTCGCAGCGGTGCCTAGTGCTACGAAGTGCGAGTTGTCGCAGATGTATTTCGCATCCAAGCAGTGCCCCAGTGCTAAGATCGGCGCTGGCGCCGTGCCCCACTCATTCCCTCATTCCCTGCTAAAGACCGCCCAGTAGTAGCAATAGTAGTCGTAGTAGTATTAGTAGTAGTGGTGGTGGTAGTAGTAGCTAGCTACTATACTAGATATCACTCCCGCACCAAACAAGTTGGGCCTCCCGTCCATGACTGTGCAACACCTGCAGATTCCCGCAGGGCCTCCAGCAACCCCTCCCCAGCGAGCGCGTTAGCCCATTGCCCCGCTGTCATGTGCCGGCACTGGCACGTTGGCCTCAAAGAGGGGCTGCAGGAGGAAATGCAACAGCCGGCCCCACACCCGGCCAGTGGTGTGGAAGGAGCACCATATGTGTGCCTGGCTCCCTCTCGGTAGGGCGACCATGCCTGCCTGTGACCTGTTCCCGCCCCCATGCCTCCCTGCCCCATCCCCCTCCCAACCCAGTAACCCACCCCCCAGACCAGCGTTAAGCAGCGTTATTCCGCGTTATTTTGCGTTATTTTCTAGGCCAAAGGCCTTGTATAGCAAGGTCTCGCGATAAAAGGCGTTAAACAGCGTTATCCTGCGTTATTCTGTTACTCTGCTTTATATATAGCTACAATACAGGGCAATGGGATCCCATGTGCTATTCGATTCCGGGACAGCTTAAACACGATAATTCCGTTACTCCACCCTATATTCGACTATATATAGCTACAACATATAGGGGTCCCATGTACCGTCCGGGAACAGCTTAGACACGATTAATTCGAGGATGTGATTATGACGAGGCTTCGCAAAACCTGCTGGGAGTTGCAAGCTATCACCGAAGCAGTGATGGATCTGTTGTGCCTGATATTGCTCGTTTGCTACATTCTGAGTTCAACCTCTAGGGCGCGCAGTTGCTAGTGCATTATCGCATCAGCCATGCACCCGGTTTCATCCAGGATCCAAGACCTGGTGGATGCAGCTCGCAAAAACCATGGAAGATCACACTCAACCTCTCCGAAGCCGGCAGCAATCCGTGCTGCACCCCCAGTGGCCACTCCTGTGAGAACCCGCCCACAGGCTCCGGAAACCCCCGATGAACCCATGAAGGCAGCTACACCTGTCAAGGATCTGACGCAGCAGCGAGTGCCCCAGCTTCCAGTGGGCACGCCGAAGAAGCAGCCGGAGCCAGAGCCAGCAGCCACACCCACGAGGCCTCAGGTGGAACCGACTCCGCCTTCGGTCTCAACTCCCCTGAAGAAACCTGTGACTGCCTCCCCGAAGAAGCCTCATGCTGTATCGGCTACACCCGACAGAATGTCTGATGTGGGCAATACTGCAAAGAAGCAGCCAGAGATGGTTGAGACCCCTAGCAAGAATCTGGAAGCAACCCAATCCGAGACGCCGGTCCCTATGTCTGTGCAGAGCACCGGAACACCTTTGTTGTCCCCGGACTACAAGCGCCTGAGGCTAGGCCCTTCAACCTCCTTGCCCAGCATGCCATCTCTAGGATCAAAGTCCAGCCTCACAACTGAGAGCCTCCGTCACACAGACACAATGAGTACACTCACTAGTGTGACGGACAACTTTGCGAGCCTGTCACTGCAGTCACGATACTAGTCTGAATTAAATTCGAGTATGTCCCATTCGACAATATGCCAGCCTGCCCATCCCAATACTTGCTGAGGAGAGTCGCTGGAAACACTGACGCAGCAGGAGGACCATCCTTAGATTGTGAGGTTGGATTATAGGAATCTGATTACCGGTTTATAGTGGCTTTCCAGAATAAAACCAGAGTCCAGGAACACGTGTGCTCAACACAATCGGGAGCCAGTGCTGAAGTCGAGTTTCGAACGAAATGCTGGGATTCTTGATCTTCCTCAAGGCCTATATATTTTAAGCCCTACCTATATTATCAAACCACCGAACCAAACCCTGCAGATCCTTTCCCACGCAAAACCGCTATGTAGGTAGACCCCGTGCGGGCTTTGTTATATATGGTTTGGGAACCGAATTAAACTAGATTTTCGGGGCTTATGGGTTTTATATGATTGAGGTTCCGATTTTATAGCTATAGGGTTTCGCAGGGGTTCCATGTTGTCGGGCAGCACAAAGAGCAGTCGTGACTCGGCCATATTTAATAAGGGAAGGAGGGGGCTTATGTTATTAAACAGACTATTCCACGGCACAACCATGCCGGTGACGGCACACCACCCTCGCCAGCGCAGCAACCAGTTATTCGCAGCTCATCGCCAGCGCAGCAACCAGTTATTTGCAGCTCATCATACTCCTTGGATGGTTGTCTCGTAGTACTAGTAGCTAGTGTAAGAATTATAATAATACTGTGGTAGTACTAGTGCTGTGATACTACATACTACTTGTACTTTTACTAGATAGTACTGTAGCATACATTATTGTAGTAGCAGTCGTAGTAGTAGTAGTAGTAGTAGTAGTAGTAGTAGTAGTAGTAGTAGTAGTAGTAGTAGTAGGAGTAGTAGTAGTAATTATTATTATTACTACTTCTATAAGAGTATTATTATTATGAATATATATATATGTATTAGTAGCAGTAGTAGTAGTAGTAGTAGTAGTAGTAGTAGTAGTAGTAGTAGTAGTAGCAGTAGAGCTACTACCACTGCGACGAGAACAACAGCTACTACTTCTACTACTTGTGCTACCATTGCTACTACTTGTGCTACTGTACTACTACTCGCAAATGCCACCCTGTCTCGACCTTACCTACTTAGCAACATACCTATCTACCTACCTGTCAATGTATCATAATTGCCTAGCCAATACTACTACCGCCCATTGCGCAGGACCAGTGCCACCTGTGCTGCAAGCTATGTGACAGCGAGGAGGTTATCAAGAAGGCACTGTGGCAGCAAATAAGGGCTGTAGTCAAACTCCGGTGCATATTCGACACACATGTCCATGTCCCCATGGAAATAAGGGGTCTTTGGTGTTCTGTGGCTTCGAGTGCTTCTCGAAGCACATGTCCGGACACAACAAAGCCCCAGCGCTGGAAGCAACTTCGAGCATCAATGTGAGCCAGCAGGGCCAATCTGTGGAAGCCCGGGTGCAGCTGTCGGGGACAGGAAATGCATCTCTGACGGTGCAGACTCAGACGACGACCACGACGGAGGTCTTGAACCATGTGGGTGACACACAACCTGACACCCAGAATGCCCGTGAAGACCGTGACGACCTGGAGAAACACCTGGAGAAACTCATCGACGATGAGTGCGCTAAGGATGCGCAGGCAATGCAGCCTGTGCTGCAGGATGCTGCGGTGGAGCCAGAGAAGTCAGTGCCAGCCGAAGCCGAAGCAGGTGCGGACTCTGGCGATGTGAGCAAGCTGGAGGCCCTTCAAAGCATGATCCAAAGCATGCTGAAGCGCCCCGGAACCATCGACATCAACCAGGTTATGGCCGAAGCCACTTCCTTGCAAGCAAAGGCTGCGCCTGCACGCCGGCGCATCAGCACAAAGTCGGCACCGGAGCAATCCAAGAGTGCGGAGCAGTCGAGTGTGACCCCAGAAAAGACAGCACAGGAGCAGTCGAGTGTGGCCCCAGAAAAGGCAGCACAGGAGCAGTCGAGTGTGGCCCCAGAAAAGGCAGCACAGAAGCAGTCGAGTGTGGCCGCAGAAAAGACAGCACCGGAGCAGTCGAGTGTGGCCCCAGAAAAGGCAGCAGAGAAGCAGTCGAGTGTGGCCGCAGAAAAGGCAGCAGAGAAGCAGTCGAGTGTGGCCGCAGAAAAGACAGCACCGGAGCAGTCCAGCAGTGGAATGCCACCACCAGTGGGGCCACCCAAGCGCAAGGCAAGCCGAGAAGAAGAGACTGAGGATGAGAAGCTTGCACGGGAAGCCCATAACAAGTATATGCGCTTCTACAGATCACTCCGTCCCTTGTCATGAACCTTTCTAATTTATCTTGCCACCGGAAACCGCTAATTACAACTTCATCCGAGGTTCAGCTCAGTGTCCGCCAGAGGTGGCTGCCAAGGCCTTCGACGCACAGGGGAAGTCCCGTGTGCAGCTAAGAATACATGGGAAGTGCTGGGTAATAGGCTTGGGGTGCTTGTGTTCAACATGGCTTGCTATATTAAGGTGGAACGTCCGTGATGAGATTCATGTTCGAGCAGTTTCTCACTGCAGACGAGAACTGGCAACAGTCTGCCATCATGATGAACATCCGGCAGAAAAAGAAGGGATCCCGACATGGCAAGTTTGTGTGGAAGCGCTTTGATCACGTGGTTACCGAGCAACTAGCCTGCGACCGAACTAGAAACACCTTCAAACTAGTCACCTTCTAAGTAACCCTATATAGGTAAGCCCAAACCCGTGCTCAATTGAGGCATGGTGAAGCTATCGCGAAGGATATGTTGCAGACCAAGAAGAAGGATGATCCCAACTTGTCTGGGAAGTGGGTGCAGAAGCACCCTGACCAGCCTGAACGCGAGGAGAACCCCTCTCATCCTCGTCCGATGCCCTAAGCTAGCATAGGGGTTGGATGGCTAGACCCTTGCTCATGCCAGGACTGGATGTTGATGAAGTGCTTCGATTCCAAGGTCGAGAATGAGGAGAGCGAAAGTGAGACCGAGTTTGAGCTAGGCCAAGAGGTCGGCTTGTCGGGCTCAGCTGCTGCAAGCGCTTTGTTACTTGTCATGAAGATTATAACATACTTGTTTACTCCCCAATCCTCCCCTGTCTAGAACCCATTTCCCAAACCCAAGCTGATATAAAGCAAGATACCGGACTTCAACCCTGGACCCATTATACCCCTAAACCCTAAACCCACATAACATCTGACCAAGGTTCAGGGTTCCTGCTCTGGTTTTATGTTCGAGGGAAAGGATTAAGTGCACTGCAATGCAGTCGTTGAGGCAGCAGGGTGTTGGGTGCAGTGTCGTGGCTTCGGGTGGTACAGAGGGCTGTAGTGGTGAAGATGGTGATGGTGGTGACGGTGGTGGTGATGGTCTGAAGAAAAAACACTACACTACAACTGGTGCTAAAAATATATATATATATATATATATATATATATATATTTTTTTTTTAAGCACCAGTTGTATTGTAGTGTTTTTTCTTCAGACCATCACCACCAATGATGATGATGATGATGATGGTGATGGTGAAGGTTTGTTGCTGTTCTTATTCATTGTTGCTGTCGCTGTGGGTGTGGGTGTTGGCATTCCCACGGTAGCATCTGGGATTATAGGCTTCAGGAAAGTTGTTGGGAATCCACTGTAATAAAATTCGGGCTATGGGTTTGTGGCTTAAGGCAGAGGGGCAGCTGCTGCTGTATGCCGGGTCAGGAGGCAAGCATCCTATTATTTTGTACGACTACCCATACATATCTGAACTCAAATAAACCAACCCTGATAGTCCAACTTCTCAAAGCACCAGAACACCGGCAGGCACCCGAATCTAACCCCAAATCAGAGATGCCGCCGAGGCGATCCGCTTTGGGCGGCAAGGCAGGTTCCGGCGACCGTGGGCAGCCATCGAATCTTCCTCCTGGAAACATTCCCCCTATCCCCAAGCCGCGTGAGAAGAAGGAGAAAACCGTTTCGCAGGAGGCTTGGAACCTTCTTAAGGGGAGCATGGTCAAGGTTACGGAAGCCGATGGATTGAAGGTGAAGCTCCAGGCCTCTGGCATGTATCTCGTCTGTATATATCAGTACAACTACACAAGAACCGATGTACACACACACACATAACTACATACATATATGATAGACGTGGAAACACACATGATCCCAGGGGCGCCCAGTTTGTGGATGCTCTGATGGCTGACTCTTCCGAGACAGTTCAGCTTCTCAAGGGCACCTACCATACCCTGAAAGAGGCCATTAGCGCAAATGCAAGTGATGATGAGAAGAAGTTCTGCTGCAACGAGCTGACTGCTGCCCTCAAGCAGTTTGATTCGAAGATGAAAGCAATCCGCAAGGCGATGCCTAGCAACAACCCGCCCAAGGCGACCACGAAGGCAACAGCCAAAGCCAAAGGCAGAGCTGCCAAGTAAGGTTGTATGACCCACAGCAGTTTCAGGAACACACATGTTTTGCACTAGTGTGTGTCTACGCGTCCAAAAGGGGCCGTGGGAAAGCCGTGCTCGTAGCCTGAACTGCAGGTGCTGAAGGCCAATAATGCGACATACTGTGTTTCAGGAATTGTGCAACAGCCATCTACACACAGCGTTTCTTGTTGATGGCATTATTTGGCGGGGCAGTTTAATCAGGTGTCCGAGTTTAGGGTCGAACCTGCGATTGGAAAGCGGTTACTTCGACTGTGCGTGGCAGTGGTTCAAAAAGTTGAATGGCTTCATGTTCGCAGTCTTGTCTGCAGGATTGAAGCATGAGCATTGTCCAGGATGCATGCTGCATTGCTTGCTACTCCAAAGCAGGTGTTCCTGGTACGGTCAAGAGCCGCCTGCTGGCTGGTGTGGGATCTGGAGCCCCTTGTTTGCAAATACCGGCCGGTCCTTCGCCAGTGATGCTCTCAGCCGCCAAGGAGTTCAGTTCCTTGACTGTTCAAGATTTGGCAATGTCCATTACCAAGGAGACTTGGCTTGCTATATGAGTTTTTATACCATGTTATAACTGGCTTTGTCTTATGAGCTATTGGAATTATATTCAGGCGATTACGATCTAAAGTGAGCTACGTGTAAGCCAGGAATTCGGATCTGCGACCCCTCAAGATATCCGAGAGTTGGCTTCATGTGGCAATGGTGGAGTTCATACTGGGAACGTGTGGAGGGACATGCGGGTTAAAGCTGGGCAGGATGACGCTGCTTGCTTGATTTGATAAAGATCTCTGCTATAGACGTATGGTAAACTCAACCACTAATCTTCAGGTCCCTAAGGCCTATAATGGTGAACCCCTATGCAATAAGCCCTATATATAAGCCCCAAAGCCAACAAAACCTACACCCCGAAGCCTATACTAGAAACCTCAGACCCAGAACCGGATTTTCGAAACAGAGAGCCCAACACTATACCACAAAGCCCCCTACCCTAATTAACACGAGAGCAGAATTATTCACCACTAAACCCAGGAGCCCCAAACCCTCATAAATTTGTGTCCATACCCTGCATCTTAGGAGGTTCCGACGGTGACTATTACAATTCCTGTCAAGGCAAAGCCGCAAGACCCCGACTGTGTTGAGGAGAAAGACTTTGCTCTGACGATAGTGCCCCCACACTTATTAGCGTGCTGGCTACTTCGTGCTGGCCGCTTGAGGCTAGATGCAGGAAAATGCAAACGATATTGGGAACATCTGCAAAAGATGAAGATATCTTGGATGCTCAACCCCAGACAGCCTTGTGAAGAGCTAAGACGTCACCTTGAACCAGTGAGCCTTTATGCGGATGAAGCCGAGTATAGTGTGAGTAAGGAAAAGTTGACAGCTCTGATTTTAAGACTCTTCCTTGCAGATTAATCCGCTTTGTTGTTCTCCCAATATAGTCAAACTAGAACTGCCCACAACATCCCAGAACCATCAAGCTTCGTCTCAGGTTTCCCATTGTTCGAGGATTCAACTGCAGTAATGGACACCCGCTTTCCTCTGTGTGCCATTCGGTCAGAGCTGTCTTTGGGGGCCAAAACATGGGCTCCCGTATGGTCTTTTGTGGCCTGGAGCATGAACTGCATGTACACAGGCATCGCTCCAACGACAGGTTTCGACGAGCAACCCTTGAAACGTGATGCCCTGCAAACTCCTGGGGAGCCAATGTACAGAGGAGTGGGTTTCAGACTGACTGAGATCAGGGGAGATTGGAAAGCCCACCAATCTATCTGGGGATTGATGCGCGCAGCCTTCACGAGCAACAACGTTTGCCACATCTGCGAAGCATCACGTGTGAATGCAAGCACAAGTATGCTGGAATTTTTTCCCACAACCCAGGCTGGCTGGCGACTACACGCACCCATGCCACTTTTCTGTCCGAAATCATGAATGATGATGGCTGCAACCTGATGTACATCCGCAAGTTTAACTTCCGCATGCTGCGTTGGTGCAGCATGCACTCCATACAACTGGGGTGTGGGCTGTTTCTGAACGGAGGTTGCTGGTACGAGCTACAGAAAATTGGCTGGTTTGTTGGAACTACGGCCCATGACCAATGCAGGTCTGCATATCGGAGTTTCAAGTCGTGGCTGAAAACCAACAGGATTGAATGCACACAACCAGCGTTCAAGCCATGGATGTTTGTGTGCAATGCTGAGGAGTCCTGCTCGCTTCGCAGCAAGGTTGTTTTGCAAGCTTTTTCTTTTTTTGCTATTAAACCCCCAGCCCGGA